GTTTAGTTTTACTTTAGTTTTTATTAGATTTTACATTTTTAATGCTTAGTTTTACTTTAGTTTTTATTAGTTATTTTTAATAGTTTGAATAACCATATTTGCCAGTACCTCCTCCAGCTTGTGAAGTTCCTGTGAGTTAACAAACAGTTATCTGGTCAATAGTTAAATCAGTCCATTATAGCGACACCTTCCTAAAATAATTGTGTAACTCAGTTTTACCAAGTACAAACTTGTGTGATTATTTTAGGACGATGACAACAGTTTGTCTCCAACCTGTTGTTTGTTTTTCATGGAGCTGCTGAGAGAAGCTAACATGTCAGATAGTCACAGTTAGCATCTTGTGTGAGTTTGATTCATGCAGTTTTTACCTTGAGAAGGATTAATTATAAGTATTAATAAGTATTCCACCTGTTTTATCATCTGTTTCCACTACAACACACTTTGATTTATTTTCTCACATCATATTCAAAGAAATCACAAAGTGACGTTTTCTCCCAACTTTAGTTGTCTTCATTTAGCAGGTGAAGCTGAGCAGCAGGACTGTAAACAAGTGTTACAGACCACAGCTGATGTGAAAAAGACAAAAGATCCACATGGTTCAAAACATAAAACTAAGAATCTTCTCTCTATAATTTCAGTTTTAGTTTTTGTAAAAGGATTATACAGTTTTAGTTTTTGTAAAAGGATTATACAGTTTTAGTTTCTGTAAAAGGATTATACAGTTTTAGTTTCTGTAAAAGGATTATACAGTTGTAGTTATTTAGTTGGTCTCAGTGACCTGTAACAGTCCTGGTCCGGTCCGGTCTGTGCAGGCGGCCTTCCTGCTGCCCATCCTGCAGCAGCTGATGGCAGACGGTGTGGCAGCGAGCCACTTCAGTGACATCCAGGAGCCTGAGGCCCTCATCCTGGCCCCCACCAGAGAYCTCATCAACCAGATCTTCCTGGAGGCCCGCAAGTTCTCCTTCGGGTAAGTTCCAGGTCTGTGTGGATCTGTGTGGGTCCATGTGGACCTGAGTCTGTGTGGGTCCATGTGGACCTGAGTCTGTGTGGGTCCATGTGGACCTGAGTCTGTGTGGGTCCATGTGGGTCTGTGTGGGTCCATGTGGACCTGAGTCTGTGTGGGTCCATGTGAGTCTGTGTGGGTCCATGTGAGTCTGTGTGGGTCCATGTGAGTCTGTGTGGGTCCGTGTGAGTCTGTGTGGGTCCGTGTGAGTCTGTGTGGGTCCATGTGGACCAGAGTCTGTGTGGGTCCATGTGGACCTGAGTCTGTGTGGGTCCATGTGGACCAGAGTCTGTGTGGGTCCCTGTGGACCAGAGTCTGTGTGGGTCCCTGTGGACCAGAGTCATTGTGGGTCCATGTGAGTCTGTGTGGGTCCATGTGGACCTGAGTCTGTGTAGGTCCGTGTGAGTCTGTGTGGGTCCATGTGGACCTGAGTCTGTGTGGGTCCATGTGGACCAGAGCTCTGGACCTGAGTGTGTCCCTGGTCTGCAGGACCTGTGTGCGTCCCGTGGTGGTCTACGGGGGGGTCAGCACTGGGCACCAGATCAGGGAGATCATGCGAGGATGTAACGTCTTGTGTGGGACTCCGGGTCGCCTGATGGACGTGATTGGACGAGGAAAGGTACTGGACCTGCTCACCTGTATGTGGACCTGGTCCTGAGTGTCTCACTAACACACTGTGCTGCAGGTTGGTCTCAGTAAACTCAGGTACCTGGTCCTGGACGAGGCGGACCGCATGTTGGACATGGGCTTTGAGCCTGAGATGCGTAAGCTGGTGGGCTCTCCTGGGATGCCGTCCAAAGAGGACCGCCAGACCCTGATGTTCAGCGCCACGTACCCTGAGGACATCCAGAGGTCCGCCTCCTGAACCCAGGTGGTCTTCTTATAATCCACATGTCCAGGTCTGATCTGTGCCGGGTCTGGCTCCTTACAGGCTGGCTGCAGACTTCCTGAAGACGGACTACCTGTTCCTGGCTGTGGGGATCGTGGGCGGAGCCTGCTCCGACGTGGAGCAGAAGTTTGTTCAAGTCAGCAAGTTCGCCAAGAGGGAGCAGCTGCTGGACCTCCTGAAGACCACCGGTACGTCTGACCAGTTCTGCTCATTCAGAGAAGTTCTGGGTCCAGTCCTTGTGTTCTGTTCCAGGTCTGGAGAGGACCATGGTCTTTGTAGAGACCAAGAGGCTGGCTGATTTCATTGCTGCCTTCCTGTGCCAGGAGAACGTCCCCACCACCAGCATCCACGGGTACCTGAGCCCACCTGAGCCCGGTCCTGCTGCGGCTCACTTCTGAAGGTCTGTAARGGGTCTGTGTTGTCCTGCAGGGACCGGGAGCAGCGGGAGCGGGAGCAGGCCCTGGCAGACTTCCGCTCCGGTAAATGTCCCGTCCTGGTGGCCACCTCTGTGGCTGCCCGCGGTCTGGACATCCCCGACGTCCAACACGTGGTCAACTTCGACCTGCCCAAAGACATCGACGAGTACGTCCATCGGATCGGCAGGACCGGGCGCTGCGGGAACACCGGCAGGGCCGTGTCCTTCTTCGACGCAGATGTTGACGGGCAGCTGGCCCGCTCCCTGGTCACCATCCTGTCCAAGGTGAGGCCTTCAGGCAGGGCCTGAACTTTAGCTGATATTTAAAACAATGCTAACTGTACACAGTGGCTAACTAGCAGGATGCATGCTAATGCTAATAACAGAGGTTAAATGTAGTAGGATGCATGCTAATAACAGGCTAAATGTAGCAGGATGCATGCTAATAACAGGCTAAATGTAGCAGGATGCATGCTAATGCTAATGACATAGGCTAAATGTAGCAGGATGCATGCTAATGCTAATAACAGAGGTTAAATGTAGTAGGATGCATGCTAATAACAGAGGCTAAATGTAACAGGATGCATGCTAATGCTAATAACAGAGGCTAACTGTAGCAGGATGCATGCTAATGCTAATAACAGAGGTTAAATGTAGCAGGATGCATGCTAATGCTAATAACAGAGGCTAAATGTAGCAGGATGCATGCTAATGCTAATAACAGAGGCTAAATGTAGCAGGATGCATGCTAATGCTTATAACAGAGGCTAACTGCAGCAGGATGCATGGTAATGCTAATAACAGGCTTAATGTAGCAGGATGCATGCTAATGCTAATAACAGAGGCTAAATGTAGCAAGATGCATGCTAATGCTAATAACAGAGGCTAAATGTAGCAAGATGCATGCTAATGCTAATAACAGAGGCTAAATGTAGCAGGATGCATGCTAATGCTAATAACAGAGGCTAAATAAAGCAGGATTGATGCTAATTAGCAATGCATGCTAATCCTAATAAAAAAGGCTAACTGTAGCAGGATGCATGCCGATGCTAATAACAGGCTAAATAAAGCAGGATACATGCTAATGCTAACCAAAGGCTATATGTAGCAGATTGCATGCTAATGCTAATAAAATAGTTTAAATGTAGCAGGATGGATGGTAATGCTAATAAAAGAGGCTGAATGTAGCAGGATAGATGCTAATGCTAATGACAGAGGCTAAATGTAGCAGGATGGATGCTAATAAGAGGCTAAATGTAGCAGGATGGATGCTAATAAGAGTCTAAATGTAGCAGGATGGATGCTAATGCTAATGACAGAGGCTAAATGTAGCAGGATGGATGCTAATGCTAATGACAGAGGCTAAATGTAGTAGGATGGATGCTAATAAGAGGCTAAATGTAGCAGGATGGATGCTAATGCTAATAAAAGAGGCTAAATGTAGAAGGATGGATGCTAATGTTAATCAAATAGGTTTTATGAAGCAGGATGGATGCTAATGCTAATCAAAGAGGTTAAATTTAGCAGGATGAATGCTAATGCTAATCAAAGAGGTTATATGTAGCAGGATGGATGCTAATGCTAATGTTAATAAAAGAGGCTAAATGTAGCAGGATGGATGCTAATGCTAATGACAGAGGTTGTATGTAGCAGGATGATGCTAACGCTAATAAAAGAGGTTATATGTAGCAGGATGATGCTAATGCTAATCAAAGAGGTTATATGTAGCAAGATGGATGCTAATGCTAATAAAAGAGGCTGAATGTAGCAGGATGGGTGCTAATAAAAGAAGTTATATGTATCAGGATGATGCTAATGCTAACAAAGCAAACAGAAACCAGTTACCAGCACTAAGTCAAACCTGACCTGTGACACTGGACCTGGTCCTCCAGGCCCAGCAGGAGGTGCCGTCCTGGCTGGAGGAGTGTGTGTTCAGCGGGTCCTCCAGCTCCTCCTACAACCCCTGCAGGAAGCCTTTCGCCTCCACAGACTCCAGAAAGGTAGGAGAGCTTCCTGCTCAGCCTGTCCTGTGAAACATGAGCTCATCAGGTTCTGTTCTGTCCTCAGATGGGCTCGTTCCAGGACAACCAGAACCAGTCTGCAGTCCAACCTGCTGCTGCTGCTGCAGCAGCTGAAGAGGAGGAGTGGGAGTGAAGGCTAAGCTTTAGTGTTACAGTGATAGTAAGTGTTCAGGTTGTTGTAGTTCCACAACATCAGTTTAATGTTTAGTTCAGTCTTAGAAGTAGAAGTTAACAGATATCAGCTCTGGTTTATGACCTTTCTGTTCGACACCAGTGGAACTAATGAGGAAGTCAGGATCTTTTGTACGAAGCAGGATTTGTTTGACCACGATTACAAATAAAGATGACTCTTTTGTTTTTTTGACCTGGTTCTGGTTCTGTTCAGCTCACATGGATCAAAACTTCAGACGGATCAGTTCTGTGAAACAAACACAGCTGCAGCTGGTACAAGATGAAAGAGTTCAAAACACCTGAAATATAAAACTGAACAGGTTTACCTGGTAAAACTGAACAGGTTTACCTGGTAAAACTGAACAGGTTTTAAATATTGTTTTTCTTCCTGCGGTTTGTTTAAAGAGAGACAACTTTGTGTTGAATTAAAACAATAATCAGTAGTAAAAACATATATAAATACAGCTAACTTCATTTAACAGTTAAACTTTATTAACTGATAAAGTTTTGACATTTTGAAACACCTCTTCTGTCATTTTTTATGTAGTCAATAGTTATTTTATGCTTTTTGAAGTTTAGCTGCTAAACATGCTACATACTGTGAGGGTTAGGTTTTTATTTAAGTCAACTCTTTAACCTGACATTAAACCTTAACCATGGTTATATAATAACAGCTGCATTCTGGTGTGATAAGCTCTATGTTTTATATTCAATTAACTATGATCTGATTAGTCCACTAATCGAATAAATAATCTGTGATTAATTGATTATAAAAATAACTGTTTGTGGCAGCCGTACCCACAGACGTATGGAGGCAGACACCATGATTGGGTGCTGCCGCCATCTTGGATGGGTCACTTGTGTCCCCAGCGCATTCATTAGTACTGAGGAAGCTGTTAGCTCTACTTAAATAACTACTAAAGTTTTTACTCTATTTTTACACAGTGTGGGTTGTAAGAAGCAGTAAAAGTGTAGTTATAATACAGAACACTCATACATGAATAAAAGTCATGCTCAAATACTTTGTTTTATGGTGTAATTTATAATCTAATCTGTATTTTCCATCAGTGGAGAAATTCATGAAGAGCTGTTTAAAAATACAATAAATGTAATTATTACAGTATTAAATATTCCTTCAATACACAAATGTCCCCATGAAATAAAACAAAATTTTATAAATTAATTTTTTTTAGCATGTCTTTATAAATTTTTTACCCTATTCATTATAAAACAAAAATTTACCTTATTTTCTTTTATTTTGTAAACCTACTTTACATATTTCACGGACTTTTATTTTGATCTCCCATTTTATTTCATGCCATTTTAGTATTTCAGGCTGTTTTTACTTTTTCAGGGTGTTTAATGTCATGGTCCAATATGCAAATGAGGGGGCGGAGTTCTCTGGTTTGGGATTCAGGAAGTGARCTGTTTCACCACCAGAGGGAGATGTTCCCCTGCCTGGCCTTCATATTTAAACCTTTTATTTTTATAAATAAAACAGAATAAATGAGTTGAATGACTGTCATTATGTCATTATGAAGGCTTTGCAGAGAGACTTATGGTGACTTTTGGCCAAATGGCCCAGATTTTATCACTCAGATTAAAAATAGCTATTTTTTTCCAGGTAGGTCAGAGGTTTGTTGGACAAGCCGAATTGTTGATCATCTTTCCAAATGTAAGGTGTTCAAGTTTGTTGCAGCTAGCCTTTTCCTGTCTGAAGTTATGGCTAAAATGGTCTGTTTTCAAGTAGAGTTCTCTGCAGTGACTGCACATAAACACATCCAGGGACTGAAACTTTAATGTTAAATGGTAATTTTCAAACAATGTTAGCTACAATAACAATTAGTCAAATAACCAAAACTAGTGTTCAAACCTGTAAAAAGGTAATCCTATGTGATGTGTTTTCATTACTGCACTGTTTGATGCACAAAATACAGACGTGTTGTTCTGATGCTGCCTTCAGTGAGAACAGACCCATCCAATATGGCAGCAACCATGATGTGGTTATAATATCCACCTGTCTTCAGGTGAAAACTAACAGTCTTAGTGGTTAGCATTAGCAGAGCTAACATTCTAGTTAAGCAGATTAGTGAAGCTAACAGATTATCTGTACCCACTGATCACCAGTGTGTGTTCCTCTAAAGGTTTTATAAACCATCAACATGTTCACCTTCAGAAAGTAATGGTTAACCTGAAAACATCTTTTCACCTTTCAAGTTGATGTCAGCTTAACTGAAGCTAAACGTAGACTAGGAAGATGAGTTGTAGCTAAATTTATTTTAATCAAAGTTAATGAATAATGAAAATGCCTAATAAAACCATTATTTACAGATGTAATGTCATTATTGGGTCTGTATTAGTTTTATAAACTGGCACTGCAGGTAAAATCCAAACTTATTATCTGGTTTTATAAATATCTGATTCTCATGTTCTGGTCTCAATTTCATCTCCATGAAATTCCAGTTTTCTCCACTAAACACCATCAATCCTGTTTTCTTTTAATGTAACTATATTTTATTAATAATTCATTTTAATACGAGTTAACTACGTCTGTAAACTTGTTCCAATAATTTACATAAAACAACTGAAGTTTCTTCTTGTGAATAAAGTCAAACTCAGAGTTAACAGGGTTTATTGACTTGTTTACTCAGAGTTAACAGGGTTTAATGACTTGTTTACTCAGAGTTAACAGGGTTTATTGACTTGTTTACTCAGAGTTAACAGGGTTTAATGACTTGTTTACTCAGAGTTATTGACTTGTTTACTCAGAGTTAACAGGGTTTAATGACTTGTTTACTCAGAGTTATTGACTTGTTTACTCAGAGTTAACAGGGTTTAATGACTTGTTTACTCAGAGTTATTGACTTGTTTACTCAGAGTTAACAGGGTTTAATGACTTGTTTACTCAGAGTTATTGACTTGTTTACTCAGAGTTAACAGGGTTTAATGACTTGTTTACTCAGAGTTATTGACTTGTTTACTCAGAGNCAACACAGAGCTCTAACATGTTACTGTACAACACAGAGCTCTAACATGTTACTGTACAACACAGAGCTCTAACATGTGACTGTACAACACAGAGGACTCTTTAAAACAACACTAAATGAACACAATAAACTTAGCTTCTGGTAAATAAATATTTTTTATTGCATAAAATGTAAAGGTTTAATCTGCAACTTTTGACAACTTTAATAACAACTAATCTGCAGTAATTTTTCTATTAGTGGATGAATCGCTGATTATTTTAGTCACAATAATCAAAGCTTCCTGTTCCAGCTGCAGAGCATGAATAACTCAAAGTATAATCCTCTGTCCAGCTGCAGAGCATGAATAACTCAAAGTATAATCCTCTGTCCAGCTGCAGAGCATGAATAACTCAAAGTATAAGCCTCTGTCCAGCTGCAGAGCATGAATAACTCAAAGTATCAGCCTCTGTCCAGC